CATTCCTAGCCCTCCCTTCACGCCCTCCACCCTTCCCTATTTACAAAGACTTTATTTCCATTTTTTCCATTTCTCGTCATTTTTTCCTTTCCCTTCTTGGATCAAAGAACTGCCCGCTTAGCCCCTTTTGCTGTTGTAGAAGATGTCTGCTCTCGGTAGGGCATAAAGACGGCCTCTGTCAAGACCCTGGCGCTGGGTAGTCCAGGCAAGAAGATTCAGGGCACCCAGGGTGTCAGGCCTGGTGGAGAGGAGCAAAGGAGTTTGATTAACCTGGTCCTGTAGATCTGAACTGACCCCTTCCAAAGGCGGGTCCCACCTAGTAAAGAACTAGTGGCTCAGGAAGGAAAGACATTTCTTTCCCTCTCTCTCCCTCCCTCCCCTCCCTCCCTCCCTCCCTCTCTCTCTCTCTCTCTCTCTCTCTGTAACAGGCCTTGTGCTCGAGAGGCAGGCAGAGGAACCACTGAGCTAAATCCCCAGCCCTTTCTCTTTTTTTTTCTTTTAAAGAAAGTTGCTGCAGGAAAATTTACAACTACATGACAGCAACTTTGGGATACTAGTACATTAGAAATTAAATTATGTTTTAAAATATTTTCCCAAAAGAGGGAAAATATATCACAATTGAAACTATTCATATTAAGATAATTTATACTGACACATATATACTGTTAAAATAATGGTATCCTACGGCTGGGGATTTAGCTCAGTGGTTCCAGTGCCTGCCTTGCAAGCACAAGGTCCTGAGTTCTATCTCCAGTACCAAAAAAAAAAAAAAAAAATCAAAACAAAATAATAGTATCCTATCAGCAATGAAAAGTCTTATAATGAGCAAATTAAATAAATGAACTTACATAAACATATGAGTGCAAATGGTAATTTTTATTTCTTTAGTATTTATTTATTTGATCATTGAGAATAAATATTTTCCCAAAATTTATTTAGTATTTTCATTTTTTGTTTTTGTCAGTTTTGGTTAGTATTTATTTCTCATTTAGTTTTTAAAATTATTTAATTTTCCAATATGTATGAGCATTTATTCCTTTAGATATGTTATAGTTGTTGAGAATAATTTCTTCTGAGTTTTGAACTTTTAATTGCTTACGTTTTTTACCTAACTAAAGTAGACATGACTGAGGTCATTTGTCTCTAGTTACCCAATTATTTCTTTGACCATTTATTTCCGAGTCCTTGAGTAATTTTTATTTCCCTGACTTTGCTCAGTGACTGGTGCTTCCCAAGAACCTTTATTATACTCTTTTCCCACAGAAATAGAAAGTACACCAGCCTCAAGCTGTGACCAAGCGCTGATGACCCTCACATTTATATTATGAGCACCCGTGTCTCTGGTGCTCCAGCCAGATTCCTGCAAACGGCCATCTGGGTGTCTCCCTGCCACTTGAGATCAAAGAAGTCCCAAATTAAACTCACAGCATTTATTCACTCTGTAAATGTGTTCACCTCAAGTTAACAGAAACAACAATTTGATATGATAGCTTGAGGTTGATCTCTGTTTTCCCCTCCTCTAGACCTTAAATTTGTCATTTAATCTTCTTTTCATCTTCCACTGGATTTGTACTGGTGTTATTTGCTTTATCACAGAAAGAGTGATTTTTTTTCCAATCCATGCAAATCATCTTTGTGAAGTTCCGATTCTAGTAATTTTTTTCCATTTAATAAACCAAGTCTAAGTATAGGAAAGTATAATTAAGTTTGTTAATGATACATTCATTATAGGATTTTGAGAAATATGTCCATTAATACTAGTTTTGAATATTCAAATATTAAAATTTTGATAACTACATACAAATTGTATTCTTACTTTCAACTGCATGAGCAAATCTCTTCTGGATTTAGGTATTTTGATGGCAGCAGAAATATTACAAATGTTTTCAATAAAAACCTCACAATTAGACGGATACTCATATGTGTGGTTATATTTAAAATCAATGACATTTATGCTGCTTGTGCTAGTAGACAGTCATTCCAAATTCCTGACAGGAATCAGTAGATAATAATAAACACTCAGACCTTGACATTATTAAATGATACATGAGACAGTTATGCTAATTTAGCCTTTGACTTATTCATCATTTACCACCTCAAAGTCTCTTTTGAAGTAAAATTGCCATTCTATTACTTTAAAAATGTGACTTTGCACATATTTTTTCATTAAAAAGACATTAACTTTTCAGAGAAATCACTAGAAAATTTAATCTGTATTTGACTCCAGAATGCAAAGATAAATAAAACATGAACTGTATATTTTGTGTCAATTAATCTTACAAATCACCCTTCACAAAGATTTTAGATAAAAATGATATCCATTTATTTTGTTTACAATATGTGAAAAAAGCCTGTATTTATATACTATGATATTGTATTTCTTTGTTTTTATTTTCCAGCCAATGAAAATAGTCATGGGTTTAAAAAAAAGTAGTGATTATGTTTATTATTGCAAAAGAAATAATGAAAACTAAAATTGTTGAGTGTGGGTCATTTCTCAGGCTCTTCTACATTAACTGTGTGACTCTGGAGGACTGGATCTATTTTGCTTTTTGCAGGTGATTAAAGCTGTAGAAGAAGGCTATAGACTGCCAAGCCCCATGGATTGTCCTGCTGCTCTCTATCAATTAATGTTAGATTGCTGGCAGAAAGACCGAAATAGCAGGCCCAAGTTTGATGACATAGTCAACATGCTGGACAAGCTGATTCGTAACCCAAGTAGTTTGAAGACATTGGTGAATGCATCGAGCAGGTACTAGGCCAGACCTGAGTGATTTTCCTGAATGTCTTTAATTCAGATGGATGCCACAAGTATTTCATTAATTAAATAATTCTTATATACCAATTCATCTATCAATTTGTATGACAAGCATATAGCTGAATGTAATTTTTGCATAATATTGACTCATAATTTAAAATATTAGCAATTGTACTAAAAAGCAACTATAATTAACCTAATAGTGTAAAGTGCCAGATTCATAAAAATGCATAACCACTATCAGGTAGCATTCACAGATATTCAAATGACATACAATATTTTTATGAATTTTCAAGGATACATGTTGAGTGGGAAAATAGGATTATAAGATTATAGGGAAAGGCCAAATGGGTACTGATATATTTTAAACCAGAATATTTAATAACAATCACACTTTGATTTCTTTAAAACATCTTAGTGTCTATCATGGAAATATGAATACATTTTAATGTTCATATTTTATGAACATAGGCAGCTATAAGGACCCTTTTGCACTTATCCAGTCATACACAGATATTGGATTAATCATTTAGTGTGCAATTTGAACAAGACTTAAAATTGACAAATGAGTAATATTGTAGAGAAAATATGTGTGAGCAAATGACTGTATTTTCTACTTTTCTGAATAACAACATGGAAGCATTTAAATAATCCTGCATACCTATAAAGTATGTTTTCCTCTTTATCTGAAAAATTACCAAATTATTCTTTCTAAAATTAATCAATTTTATTTCAAACTAAAAATTTACTAGGTTGTTATTTTCAGTAGATATGAATTCAATAGATATGAATATCTATTTTATTTATTTCTTATTTATTTATTTATTTATTTATTTATTTATTTTGGCACCGGGGATCAAACTCGTGACCTTGTGCTTACAAAGCAGGCAGCGGAACTACTAAGCTAAATCCCTGATCCTTGAATATCTATTTTATAAGATGTACTTTTATGCTGGTGACAGCATTAGCTGTCTGTTAACATGAATTAAACTGAAACACTTTGTTTATAAAGTTACAAAAGTTCTATGATTTTTGACATAAAGTTTGTTTACTAGGAATAAAAGTAATTTTAAATACAAATGAGGAATGAGTCTTCAAACTGTTCAAGCATTATTAGTTTTCTTTCTTTAATTTTTATTTTATTGGTACATTTTAGGTATACAATATAACAACATTCATCATTGGAAATTTGCACCTTTACATAATCTCTCTTGGTTCTTATTTTTCCCCCTTCCCCTGCCCTCCCTTCAACCCCTCCATCCCTCCCT